AAAGAAAGAAAGAGAGAAAAAATCTTTTTGCCTTTCTCTTCTTTTGATTTGTTATTACTTTAAGAAGGGATGTAAAGCATTTTTGTTTTATCCTTATTTGTGTTAGATTGAATTACCGTTTTAGTAGCGTATTTTATTAAAGAATCTAAAAAATATATCAAATCACCTTTTGTTTATCGATTTGACTTGAAAATTTTCTCATCCATAAACATTTTGCCAAATCATATTAAAAATCAACGTACGTGCGCAAAGTATACATATACATGAATACAAACATAAGGTTTGTAAAGAAAAAAAGTTGGGAGTCAAAAGAGGATAGCTTGATGCAGCTCCCCATGGTCCCAATAAAAGGTCCTTTTGCCATCTCCAATGAAAATAAGTCTAAGTGATACCGAAGCCCTTTGAAGAGTACCAACTTTGGCGAAAATGATGTAACAATTTTTACCATAACTCGAATTTGTTGAAATGTCTTCGTGCAGCCCCTACACAACACACGTGTAAAAAGAACGAGTACAATATTGAATAGACTATCATTCATGTATCATGTTAACGATAATCAAAACAGATTTAGTGTGGGGGTAACAGAATCAGCTGCCTCCACACTAAGGGTCTGTTTGGTACGGCTCAAAATCCAATTAAAATTGAAAATATAGTCGTTATTGGGTCACACTCATCTAATAAAAGTCAACAATAACGGCTAGTTTTTCAATTTTAATCCGATTTTAATCTCTACCAAATACCCTCCTAATATCCACCGAGAAACCCAGTGTTTGTTATTAGTCCCTATTTGGTAAAAATTAAAATCAGATTTTTAGTAAATTTTGAAAAAAAATTGATGATATATATGGTTAAAAAATTGCGAATCTCATGAAATGTGTGATTAAAATTAATTGCCGACTTTGACTTAAAATTTTAATTGAATTTTAATCCAAACCAAACAACGGTGTAGTTTAAGAAGGTGCAGTTCTTTTTATGCAATATTTCCATTTACTTTGTTTGAGCCACATTATTGTTTTCATTCTCATTCTTCCACTCATTTTCAAGCACAAAGTTTTCAATAAAATAATATTTTTTATCATATACATAATTTTTTCCTCTTTTTTAACCACTTATTTCTCATCCCATCAATTAAAAAAAATACATTCTTTGACTCAAAATGTGCACCAAACATGGCGCTAACAAGTTTGATAGAGAGGGGAAAGCAGCAGACAGGGGTCCTTAAACTGTAGGGTAACAGAGTGGCAGTACAGTAAGTTGAAGTGACAGAAAATTAATTTGGTCCCTTTTGATTATTTTAATAGACATGTAATTCCAGTTGTCCGATGGTTGATGTCAAAGTTTTTAGATATGAAAATGTTGTGCTGGACTACTGCGCTGGTCAAAATTAAAAGCGTGTTCGGTAGAGATTAAAATTGAATTAAAATTGAAAAATTAATTATTATTGTTGACTTTTATTAGACGAGTGGGACCCAATAACGACTATATATTCAATTTTAATTGAATTTTAAGCTATACCGAACATGCCATAAGCTTATGTTTGAATCTACTAATTTTGAGGGGAATAAAAATTTTCGAATAATGATTGATATGAAAATATGTGGTGAAAAAGTGATGAATTTTTTTTGATTTGTGTGTAATATTATTTTATTTTGAAAATGTGTGATTGAAATGAAAAATGCGAATGAGAAATTAACGGGTGTCAAACGGGGGCTAAAGCAGTAAAATTGCTCAAAATTATTAGACTGTGTCAGGCAAACGCATAATTTGATCCAAACCTTTCATTTGTGTCATCGTAGGTACCAGAACTTTAAAAAATTCGCAACTCAAGTCTAAAATGACGCAGAAACCGTCAGTTGACTCAGAAATTAAAATTTTAATAATTTTTCCTAAATAATACAAGGGTATTTTGTACGTAATACATTTTCCCTATTCAATAAAAAAAAATATATATATATATTATAATTTTAAAGGCCCAAATCGAAAGTAAAAAGTAAACTTGAAATTTGATCACTTGTTTGAACTTTAAACAAATCATACCACATATATATATTTCTTATTGATTTAGAAAAAAGATAAATTGGCCTTCTTTAAATCTTGACAAATATGGTATATGGGTGTGGTCCTCAAACTAAAATTTGAGGTGCAAGTCCTCCCCCAAGGCTTCCTCATCTTTCATTCTCATCCTGAGCCTCTCGCTATGATTATTGAAAGTGAAAATTTTGAAAAAAAAAAAAATTATATATATACATAAATATATATACAACTTTGTCGCATGTCCACATACTAGTATATATTCTATAGCAATATTCTCGTAACACCATCTTTATAATAGAAAATATCTGTTAATTTGACCTGTAACAATTCGACACGTTAAATATCACACTACAATCAAATCAAGCATATTCCAACATATGCCATCATTTGCTATAAATTCCAGACAATCAACCCTTCCCCTTTTTTTTTGGTTTGATATTGATTTTGTCTTCCTTAATATAATTAAAATATTGACTTAAAAGAAATAGAAACCTTATATTTGTTGTTATTTGTGTTAAAAGTAGGTTTGCTTTCTTTTGATGTTTAGCCAAATATATTATCCTGGGAACAGTTTGACAGTGTTTTTATTTTTGTTTATGCTCATCGTAGAAGAATTTCTTTAGAAAGCTACTTTAATTTATATTTGAAAAATAATTTCTTCAGAAAGAAATTTTAGGAAAAATTACATTATAAGAAACAAATCTCATGAAATTAATCAATTGGGTTCAAAACAAAACAGCTTTTATGTCTCAAAAGCTCCTTTAAACTTCTCAAAAGTTAACTTCTAAATTTAGCCAACATTTATGATTCATCCGCTACACATTACTTTGAATTAGAAATGTCAATGAGTCGAGCTGATTTCATATGCACATGAGCTTGGCCCCGTGCTCGCCTCATTACTCATGAGCCAAGCTTTAGCTCGTGAGCTCGTAAAAAAACTTTTCATTTTTTTAAAGATAAACTTTAAAAAAAAAATAAAAAATTAACCCTTCGTCAAGACAAGCTCGTTGGTTCGCCCGTGGGCTTGGCTGAGCAGCCTTTTCACGAGCTAAGCGATTGAGCCGCTCGGCCTGTTTGCCAACACTACTTTGAATACATCATAATTCGTACATTATTAAAATGTCTCAAATTAAACATATGTTTATTGCACCAAAAAAGAGGAAAATTCTTGATATAACGTCGTACGTAACACTTGCCAAATACAAGATAGGAATGAATGATATATCGACTCGATGGTATTAATTCTTTCGAAGTTGTTTAATACTATAAAAAAAATGTAATGGGTGGACCTTCAAACCTACTTAATTAAGACCTCTAATATTTGACTTAATTCTATTCTTAGTTATTTTATATCCACCGTAATCTCAATCGGTCAATAATTAAATAAAACATCGTAGGTTTCAGGGGGACCCCCCGCCACCACCGTCAACCCCACGCGAAATATGCTATGACACCAATTCTTGCAGTACGCAAATGCTCTTATAATTGAAAAACCTCAACAAAAAAGAGATATTTTCGTCTCTGCATAAATCTAAATCTAATCAGAGAGAGAGAGAATGATATGATCAAAACAACCTCTCGATTTGAGGCTGTTTTGATTTAAACGACACTCTTATCCATATCAAGCTCTATTGGCATTTGGTGGCTGGATTTGATTTTTGATTTGGGAATTTTGTTGGGACTTACAAATCTATTGTTTTTTACTGTTTTTGAAATTTCTTGATTTGATTTGCTTTATTTTTCAGCAATGGTTGATAATAAGAAGTATATTTCATCTGATGAATTGAAGAAACATAACAAATCTGATGATTTGTGGATTTCAATTCAGGGGAAGGTTTACAATGTGACAGATTGGGCTAAGGAACACCCAGGTGGGGATATCCCACTCATGAATTTGTCTGGTCAGGATGTGACTGATGCATTCATTGCTTTTCATCCAGGTACTGCCTGGAAATATCTCGACAGATTCTTTACTGGGTATTATTTGAAAGATTTTAAGGTTTCTGAGGTTTCTATGGATTACAGAAGGCTTCATTCTGAGTTTTCGAAAGCCGGGATGTTTGAAAAAAAGGGCCATGGAGTGATTTATTCTCTTTGTTTTGTTGCATTGTTACTTTTCACTTGTGTTTATGGTGTATTGTGTTGCGATGGTTTCTGGGTTCATATGTTTTCTGGAGGGTTGCTGGGGTTTCTATGGATGCAAGTGGCTTATTTGGGTCATGATTCGGGTCATTATCAGATTATGACGACCCGTGGATTCAATAAATTTGTGCAAATCCTCACAGGCAATTGCCTAACTGGAATCAGCATTGCTTGGTGGAAATGGACTCATAATGCCCACCATGTTGCTTGCAATAGCCTTGACTATGATCCCGATCTTCAACACTTGCCAATGTTGGCAGTCTCTTCAAAGTTATTTCACTCGTTGACATCCCAGTTTTATGGTAGAAAACTGACGTTTGATTCGTTGTCAAGATTTTTTGTGAGTTACCAGCATATTACTTACTATCCAGTAATGTGTGTTGCAAGAGTCAATCTTTATCTGCAGACGCTCTTGTTGTTGTTCTCAAAGAGAAAAGTTCCCGACAGGGCTTTAAACATATTAGGAATCTTTGTTTTTTGGAGTTGGTTTCCTCTTCTTGTTTCATGCTTGCCAAATTGGAACGAGAGGGTGTTGTTTGTTCTGACAAGCTTTTTTGTATGCTCAGTTCAACATATCCAATTCACTCTGAACCATTTCGCAGCAGATGTTTATGTAGGAGCACCCAAGGGGAATGATTGGTTTGAGAAACAAACAAGTGGAACAATAGACATCGCGTGCTCGTCTTGGATGGATTGGTTTTTTGGTGGATTACAATTCCAGCTTGAACATCATTTGTTCCCGAGGCTACCAAGGTGCCACTTGAGAAATGTTTCTCCTGTGGTTCGGGAACTATGCAAGAAACACAACTTGCCTTATCGGAGTTTATCCTTCTTTGAGGCCAACTTGTGGACTCTAAGAACACTAAGGACAGCTGCCCTGGAGGCTCGGGATTTCTCCAAGCCTATGCCGAAGAATTTGCTCTGGGAAGCTGTTAACACTCATGGATGAGGATTCCATGGTAACTCCTGAAAGATATTTACAACTAATTTGATTATGTTTCAAAGCTTCTCAAAGTGTAATGCAATAATTCTACGGGTTACTGAATTTGGTAGACATTTTACACTCATGAAAAGCTTTCCTTATGAAGATTTTAAGAATAATTTTTCCTGTTGATTCTGAAATATTACTAATATCATTCTGTTTGCATAATACTGTTCCTTAGTTATACTTCATAATTAACTTTGAGGATTGCTCAATTGGTCATGCATTGGGTTTGCTCCCCAATCATCATCAGTTCGAGTCCTTTTTGGGTTATTCAGGTGAGTACCCGGTCGTAAACTTCAAAGCCTCGTGGAACTAGTCGAAGTGCGCTGAAACTGGCCAGACATCCACAGTTATTAAAAAAAAAGTTATACTTCATAAAAAAATTGGTCCATAGCTTTATACTTTTTGAATATACCGAACTCAGGTGAAATTTTATATATTGCACCAGTGGATGACTTTACCTATTTATATACGAAAGTAATGCATTTATGTGTTCCTAGCAGCTTCATGCTTTGGAAAGGATGGTGTGTGCAAAAGTGTAATATGTAGACTGCTTTTCAGTAGGACTGAATGTAGCTTGAGGTAGACCTTCGAAACCCTCTGACCAGTAGCGTTTTGGTGGGTGGGATAAGCTGGTGGACTGGTAACAATAACATGCTTGCTAAGCTTAAAAAGAAGCAAGCTTACTTTTTCAGAAAGTAACTGTGTTCACACTTTTGAAAACCTTTTGTCCATTCTAAAATAAGTATCTGTTAAAGAAAAGCCTAACATGTTTGGAAGAAAAAGTTTTAAAGGTTGAAACATGTTTGGTTAAAAAAAGTAAAGTTACTTAATTTTTTGGCTTAGCCAAACATCTTTTTCATTGATTAGTCCAGTCATTCTGGTAATAAAACACAGCAACCAGTGGCCTAATTGTTCTTGAAATTTAGTAACAGCAACCATCTTTAATTCAGCACAAGAAAATATATACAATGATACATGAAGTCTTGCTGGAATATAGTTTTTTCACTTCATAATACACATTTAGACATGGGTTTTAATGGAAGAACTATAGCCAGTTTGATCATCATAGTATTTGGACCAGAGCATAACACCTCCATACTTGTTAGAACCTTTGAGAGTTGGAAGAACTTTTGAAATCAGAACATTTGCAGGAACGAAGCCACTCCCAGCTGCACCTGGTGCTGCTGGTAGTCCTAGGAAAATCTTCGTAGCAGGAATAGATGAGTCCATTGTTTCCACGCATTTTCGATGTTTGCAGAGTTCCCCAAAGAGTATTGATAAGGAGGGTTGTTCTAAAATTGAACCCAGACATAGTCGAAAAGGCCTGTTTTCAAGGCACCTCCCATCCATGCATCGGGGAATGGGCATTGGGGAGCTGCTGCCTGCTGTTAAGTTCTCATCCTGCGTGCTGTACCGAGAAAGGTACCTCGCAAGTTCATCCCAGTGTTGAGAGGTCCCACCTTCAATATCAAAGTTGATTCCGTCCAAAACAGCTTCACCTAGAGGACGAGACGAGGATTGTCCGCCCAAGAAGTTGTTCCAGAGCTAAGTAGCCACTTGTCTCGCGTCCTCTGAGGAGGCGAGGTAATAGCTACCCGCCCCTCCTCCAATAGAAAGCATCCACTTTGATTCCTTTGGCTTGACACAACCGGACATCAGAGCTCAATCCGGTGCATCCGTTACTGTACGGATCACAGTGTCCGGCTAGATTGATAATTGGTGTCTGTCCATTGCCAAATGTTGACAGGAATGCTAAGATCACAAATTGATAGTTTCTAGTGGCACAAGCTTGAGCCAATGTCCCTTCATTTCCATTCTGTCCCCAATAGATAGCAATTCCTCCAGCTTCAGAACTCACCACTAGCATTAATATTACTAGTGGAAGAATCAAAGCTGATTTCTTAAGAGCCATATGATTTTTAGTAAGCTATATTGATCTAATGATCTTTTGTTGAACCATGCCTAAGGTGCGTATCCTTTTATGGTGTTCGAGCTTATTAAATTATTAACCATGAAAAAAAATTCAACAAAAGACAAAAACAAAACTAATATCTATTTGGTGGAGATGGGGTAACTAGTCAGCCCTCTTTGTCTTGTGGTTTGGGGTGCAAATCATGCAGGCCTGAGGCATATTTGTTATGCATTGAAGGCCAAGATTAGAGAATCAAAATAATACTGTGCAATATTACATGAACTGCCAAAGTATTGTAGCTACTATTTTGGAGTCATGCCTTGTATATGGCTGAACAGTACATATTTGAGCTGTGACCATCCCCGGTCGGCTAATAGTTTAGGGGACAAATCCCAAAGGCACCTCTATCTTACGGTGACATGTTGAACTTTTGATAATACTGTCAAGTACTATATAGTTCACGTTACCATGATTGACAAAAATGTTATAGCGACTATTTTGGGCTTACGCGAAGCATGCATGTCTGAAAAGTCACTTAAATTTCAATTGTTATGTTATCATAGTACAAGGAAACAGTTTAACGCAGACGGAGTGCATAAAAAGTTGAACCATGTTTGCTAAAAAAAATTTCTTTCTTTAACGTCATTCTTGTTTTCTAAATTGTGGTCTGGTTCTCTTTCACCTATACAATGACATTATTTTGTTTAGTATATTTTTTAGCAACCGTCCAAATTCCCAAATCAAATAAAGTTTAGTCAACAAACTTCGAGTGCCTTGAAAGGCGGGGCCCCCCTTAGCTTTAAGATTTCTTGATATTTGATCGCTGATTTTGGACATTTTGACCTAAAATTTCTTGAAGCAGATGAATATTAATATTCTCAAGTCAAGTCATTTACTTTAATACAAGATAGGTTATCGAAAGAATCGTGAAGAGTAAACACTGCAAAAAATCACGATAGAAAATAAATTCTTATTCGAAGAGTGCATAACTTCAGAGATAAGTCATAATAATCCGTCAAAAGTAATCTTCCTCGTCGTTTGTTAAGTTGCTCAATTAGAATATCTGAAACATCGAAGATAACCATAACAAAGCTGAATCATGAGATATAAACTGATCCGATTGTTCAGAGAAATAGATTCACCATATGTGAAAGCTTAGGGATAGAAACGGTAGCTGTGCTGGCCTTCGTCAGCGGTTGACATGGCTTGAGACATTGGTTGAGCACAAACTTTTTATTCCGGGTGCCTACGGTGGATTAGTGCATTGTTTCAATAACGAAGCAGAAGGAGGAGCCAATTCCAACCATTTTGCTAATTTATCTCAAACGTCATAAGAGACTATTGTCCCCATCACAAGCACGTACCAAAGAAGACGCGCATGTGCACATACTCCATAAAGACAGGTTTTGTTTCTCGGTCGCACAGTAATATAGAAATCAATTTTAAGTCCAGCATTGCTCAAAATTAAACCTTAAACAAGACTAACAAACATTATACGCGCTTGCACAAAGAAAACAAAACTACCAAACAATATATAAACGTGCGCGCACACAGAGAACAACAAAAGTAATGACAGGCTTCAGCGCTTGGTTTCACAATAATATAGAAATCAATTTAAGTTAAGAGCATTGCTCAAAGTTACACCTTACACAAGTAACAAATAATATACAGTCTTCTCTCAAATAGTGTTTCCATGTGAACAATTCAAAGCATAATCTGTCTTCCAATAGCGAAACAATTCAAAGCTATATTATACACTTGTCCATTACAGGAAGATAAGGCACAAGAGAACAGATCATTTTCTACATATGACAAGCTGCCCTCAAGGAAAATCACTCTAACCCATTGCATATTTCTGAGTCCAGCTCCTTGCAGTTTGCTCGTACTTGGCCTTGTCAGTTTTGTACATGTGGGCGATCTCCGGCACCAAGGGATCATCCGGGTTTGGATCCGTTAAAAGTGAACAGATCGAGAGCAACACCTACAAATATATACAAGAATCTTCCTCTTAGATACTACTAGATTCAGGTTTTTTTTATTAAGGATAGTTTATTCTTTTCCCTCGAGATACTCATTGGGGGGGGGGGGGGGGGGGGGGGGT